AGGCTAACTTTTAGGGATTTTTCTGTCTTTAAACCTCACTCTCCTTCCTTTGATCAATTCCCTATTTCTCTAAATTTCATTGCATCCATCCTGGACCCTCCATTCTTTAAAGCACTCGTATCATTTATGATACATTAATTTTATTCATATTTTAGCCCTTGATTGAATCAAACTCAAGAATATCATTTGGTTCTCAGGTTCCTTTATTCCTCATCTTAACATATACTTAAGGAATGCTAAGAATTTAGTTTATTAAGGGATATGCATTCAATAAGAAAAATTGTTTTGTGTATCCAGAACAAAGGTAATAACAATATATGTTAAAGTAATCAGTATTAACTTCAGTGGTTCAAATATATCATTATAAATTATTTTAATAAAGAATTATCTCAAAAGTTCAGTACTAATTTAACGGTATCATTTTGGTCGATTTAGTGATTAAAAACTTCACCATTTACTTTCACTAAGGCCACTCAAAGTTCGATTAAAACTATATAAGAAGCAAATTAATTTTGGTTTAGCAATTATTATTATTATTATTTAACCCTTATTCAGGTAACAACACAAACATAAATCCAATTATTATTTTATTAACTACTTATATGCTCTTCAACTAAACTTTCAATCACCTAATCATTATTTTTTGGCAATTTCGTTCATCCCTTTTTTATATCATAATAAAATTCGTCGTCACTTTTATAATTTAGAAGTTGTGTTTCATGATGAAGTGTTGTACATGATTAAATGAGATTCTAAAGCTTCGACGTAACTCAGCCATAGATAAATATTGTGTATATATAAAAATTGGTTTAGCAATTAAATCTGATTTTAAGGAAAAATGATATCCTAAAATGAGCTTTTGTGATATTCCTGGTATTTTTAAATTAGCCTTTATTTTTTATCCTCTTGCATCTTTTTCCTTAATTCAAATACAATGATAGCCCCATCCCTACCAGCAGTTAGAAAACATTAGTCATCGGCATTGATCTTCATTTTTTCTATTACACCAGAAAATTTTGGTTTGGAACTGCTTGAGAAACAGATTTAAGTTAAGGTAATTTTTTACATTTCTTTAATTTTTGTTGATTATTGGCAAATGAACTCTACCCAAAATGACGATCCTCTACCACGACAAAAAGTATTTTAGTCTGAAAAGTTAATGAAACACTTAACTTTGGGACATTTTCTTAGCATGTGTATCAAGCATTTCTTGTCCTGTTGTGTCTGCACTTACTTTCCATAAGGATATCAAACTATCTTACCCACACAAGTAGCTAAAATTATATCATTTATACTCCATGTTATGCATCTAATTCTGCAACTATGATTTTTAAATTATAGGTTGCCAGTGTTATCTCCAACTTAGTATCTATATATGTAGATTGTGTTAAGTAGTGTTAGCAGCATTCAAAGTAGGTAAAGTTTTGTCCTCTATCTGAGAATTTGATTTCTTTGCGTTATTTGAAATACCAGATTACATATTCTTGTCAATTTGAATTCAAGTGTTTACTGGAGAAAGAAGCGAAATGGCAAAGAGACTAATTCAAATTGTTGCTTTTCTTCCGAAAACTATTCAGTCTCCTATTTATAGCTTAACGCCCATTACTATTATTTTATCTTTACTGATGGACATAAAGCAGAATCCTTTGTTTCAGAAATTGATTTACATGAAGCACATAGATATTTTATATTATTTGCTATCTATGTAAATTGTAGAATTGGCTCGGCAATTGCAAATCCTTAATGAATAGTCTGCATGACTTCAATCGAAAAAGTTTATTTGTCTTGGCGATGAGAATTATTTCGACCATAGGTCCGAATGCAACAGATCTCAGTTCCTTGACTTGAGCATCACGATAGAAATATATCTCTTTCTTTTGAGTCATCATGTCGTAAATGTGTAATGCAGGCTTTTCGCCCTTCACCCCTGCTGTTAAAAATACTCTTCATATGTGAGAGAGCCATACATGATAATTCTCAGTAATGTTCGAATCCTTGGAAGTAACTTTGACTTTTCTCTTGTAATAATAGCACACTTATGAAAGCCTGCTGGATATATGACTAGAGTATCATCCATGAAGTAGGGGTTATTCTTTAAATTGCTGTTCAATCTGAAGACGTGTTTTGTTGAAGCTGCTGTGACATTTACAGAGTGGGAATCATCATTAATTAATAATTATAAGTAATTCTTTAGTATTATATTTATTTAAGAGAGAAAAAATCTTCAGGAGGGCGAGTTAATAAATATAATAATTGTGGAATAAACAAATATTGACCACAGTATTCTCATTGATTACTACCTGACCCTTGACGAACGACAGATCATTTGGCCTGAAATTTAATTAAACCCTTTCAACTAAATTTAACATTAGATATAAATGTGGATAAATCCTAAGTACTTTTCTCATTGATCTAGAAAAGGGTTGAGTCATTGAGAGAAGATGCATTGAATTTTAATTAATAATAATAAATTATATTTTTTATTTAATTATTATGAATTCTGAAATTCATGATCAAATTAAAAATAAGTTTTTGAAGATGTATATATTCCTGCTGTTCATTTTGGTATTCAACAATTCAATTCAGCATCTCCTTCCAAAAAATATGCTCAGGCTAACTTTTAGGGATTTTTCTGTCTTTAAACCTCACTCTCCTTCCTTTGATCAATTCCCTATTTCTCTAAATTTCATTGCATCCATCCTGGACCCTCCATTCTTTAAAGCACTCGTATCATTTATGATACATTAATTTTATTCATATTTTAGCCCTTGATTGAATCAAACTCAAGAATATCATTTGGTTCTCAGGTTCCTTTATTCCTCATCTTAACATATACTTAAGGAATGCTAAGAATTTAGTTTATTAAGGGATATGCATTCAATAAGAAAAATTGTTTTGTGTATCCAGAACAAAGGTAATAACAATATATGTTAAAGTAATCAGTATTAACTTCAGTGGTTCAAATATATCATTATAAATTATTTTAATAAAGAATTATCTCAAAAGTTCAGTACTAATTTAACGGTATCATTTTGGTCGATTTAGTGATTAAAAACTTCACCATTTACTTTCACTAAGGCCACTCAAAGTTCGATTAAAACTATATAAGAAGCAAATTAATTTTGGTTTAGCAATTATTATTATTATTATTTAACCCTTATTCAGGTAACAACACAAACATAAATCCAATTATTATTTTATTAACTACTTATATGCTCTTCAACTAAACTTTCAATCACCTAATCATTATTTTTTGGCAATTTCGTTCATCCCTTTTTTATATCATAATAAAATTCGTCGTCACTTTTATAATTTAGAAGTTGTGTTTCATGATGAAGTGTTGTACATGATTAAATGAGATTCTAAAGCTTCGACGTAACTCAGCCATAGATAAATATTGTGTATATATAAAAATTGGTTTAGCAATTAAATCTGATTTTAAGGAAAAATGATATCCTAAAATGAGCTTTTGTGATATTCCTGGTATTTTTAAATTAGCCTTTATTTTTTATCCTCTTGCATCTTTTTCCTTAATTCAAATACAATGATAGCCCCATCCCTACCAGCAGTTAGAAAACATTAGTCATCGGCATTGATCTTCATTTTTTCTATTACACCAGAAAATTTTGGTTTGGAACTGCTTGAGAAACAGATTTAAGTTAAGGTAATTTTTTACATTTCTTTAATTTTTGTTGATTATTGGCAAATGAACTCTACCCAAAATGACGATCCTCTACCACGACAAAAAGTATTTTAGTCTGAAAAGTTAATGAAACACTTAACTTTGGGACATTTTCTTAGCATGTGTATCAAGCATTTCTTGTCCTGTTGTGTCTGCACTTACTTTCCATAAGGATATCAAACTATCTTACCCACACAAGTAGCTAAAATTATATCATTTATACTCCATGTTATGCATCTAATTCTGCAACTATGATTTTTAAATTATAGGTTGCCAGTGTTATCTCCAACTTAGTATCTATATATGTAGATTGTGTTAAGTAGTGTTAGCAGCATTCAAAGTAGGTAAAGTTTTGTCCTCTATCTGAGAATTTGATTTCTTTGCGTTATTTGAAATACCAGATTACATATTCTTGTCAATTTGAATTCAAGTGTTTACTGGAGAAAGAAGCGAAATGGCAAAGAGACTAATTCAAATTGTTGCTTTTCTTCCGAAAACTATTCAGTCTCCTATTTATAGCTTAACGCCCATTACTATTATTTTATCTTTACTGATGGACATAAAGCAGAATCCTTTGTTTCAGAAATTGATTTACATGAAGCACATAGATATTTTATATTATTTGCTATCTATGTAAATTGTAGAATTGGCTCGGCAATTGCAAATCCTTAATGAATAGTCTGCATGACTTCAATCGAAAAAGTTTATTTGTCTTGGCGATGAGAATTATTTCGACCATAGGTCCGAATGCAACAGATCTCAGTTCCTTGACTTGAGCATCACGATAGAAATATATCTCTTTCTTTTGAGTCATCATGTCGTAAATGTGTAATGCAGGCTTTTCGCCCTTCACCCCTGCTGTTAAAAATACTCTTCATATGTGAGAGAGCCATACATGATAATTCTCAGTAATGTTCGAATCCTTGGAAGTAACTTTGACTTTTCTCTTGTAATAATAGCACACTTATGAAAGCCTGCTGGATATATGACTAGAGTATCATCCATGAAGTAGGGGTTATTCTTTAAATTGCTGTTCAATCTGAAGACGTGTTTTGTTGAAGCTGCTGTGACATTTACAGAGTGGGAATCATCATTAATTAATAATTATAAGTAATTCTTTAGTATTATATTTATTTAAGAGAGAAAAAATCTTCAGGAGGGCGAGTTAATAAATATAATAATTGTGGAATAAACAAATATTGACCACAGTATTCTCATTGATTACTACCTGACCCTTGACGAACGACAGATCATTTGGCCTGAAATTTAATTAGGATTTCATGAGCCCATTGTTTTGCTTCAGATTTTTAAATTTTGAATGTGAATGGATTTTTAAATCTGCAATTACATAAAGCAGGTATTTATGTATATATAACATAATAGCATCTATTTAACATCCCTTTACAATTTAAAGGCTTTTCTCCCGAAACTTTATCATATTTTTCCTTGAGTTCCTTATTGGAGAACTCCTCTACTAACTCAAAACCTTGAAAGAATATCAGAATTTTGATGGAATTCTGCATTTTCATGTTATACTTGCATCAAAAGAAATCATTTATCGCGACATCAAACCTGAAAACATCCTTCTCAACTTATTTGGACATATTCACTTATCTGAAATTCGGACTCTCTAAAATCACAAACCATTCTTAAAGTTTAAATGGATCTAAAAATTACATTAATCCTGAAATGCCACTCAAACTGGATACAAAATACAAGTCGATCATAATTATTCTGAAACCTACTTAACATACTTGTTATCATTTCTGTAGCAAAAAGACTAAAAAATTCTATGACTCTATACTCAATGAATAATTCACATTCCGACAATTTCTAAGTCAAATAAATCAAAGATTATTAACCAAAGAACCTAATAAAAGATTAGGAGTGCATATAGGAGACAAAGAAATCCTTCAACTTAAATGGTTTAAGAAAGTCAATCTGACACATCCTAATGAAACGATTGAATCCTCCANAAATACAATGATAGCCCCATCCCTACCAGCAGTTAGAAAACATTAGTCATCGGCATTGATCTTCATTTTTTCTATTACACCAGAAAATTTTGGTTTGGAACTGCTTGAGAAACAGATTTAAGTTAAGGTAATTTTTTACATTTCTTTAATTTTTGTTGATTATTGGCAAATGAACTCTACCCAAAATGACGATCCTCTACCACGACAAAAAGTATTTTAGTCTGAAAAGTTAATGAAACACTTAACTTTGGGACATTTTCTTAGCATGTGTATCAAGCATTTCTTGTCCTGTTGTGTCTGCACTTACTTTCCATAAGGATATCAAACTATCTTACCCACACAAGTAGCTAAAATTATATCATTTATACTCCATGTTATGCATCTAATTCTGCAACTATGATTTTTAAATTATAGGTTGCCAGTGTTATCTCCAACTTAGTATCTATATATGTAGATTGTGTTAAGTAGTGTTAGCAGCATTCAAAGTAGGTAAAGTTTTGTCCTCTATCTGAGAATTTGATTTCTTTGCGTTATTTGAAATACCAGATTACATATTCTTGTCAATTTGAATTCAAGTGTTTACTGGAGAAAGAAGCGAAATGGCAAAGAGACTAATTCAAATTGTTGCTTTTCTTCCGAAAACTATTCAGTCTCCTATTTATAGCTTAACGCCCATTACTATTATTTTATCTTTACTGATGGACATAAAGCAGAATCCTTTGTTTCAGAAATTGATTTACATGAAGCACATAGATATTTTATATTATTTGCTATCTATGTAAATTGTAGAATTGGCTCGGCAATTGCAAATCCTTAATGAATAGTCTGCATGACTTCAATCGAAAAAGTTTATTTGTCTTGGCGATGAGAATTATTTCGACCATAGGTCCGAATGCAACAGATCTCAGTTCCTTGACTTGAGCATCACGATAGAAATATATCTCTTTCTTTTGAGTCATCATGTCGTAAATGTGTAATGCAGGCTTTTCGCCCTTCACCCCTGCTGTTAAAAATACTCTTCATATGTGAGAGAGCCATACATGATAATTCTCAGTAATGTTCGAATCCTTGGAAGTAACTTTGACTTTTCTCTTGTAATAATAGCACACTTATGAAAGCCTGCTGGATATATGACTAGAGTATCATCCATGAAGTAGGGGTTATTCTTTAAATTGCTGTTCAATCTGAAGACGTGTTTTGTTGAAGCTGCTGTGACATTTACAGAGTGGGAATCATCATTAATTAATAATTATAAGTAATTCTTTAGTATTATATTTATTTAAGAGAGAAAAAATCTTCAGGAGGGCGAGTTAATAAATATAATAATTGTGGAATAAACAAATATTGACCACAGTATTCTCATTGATTACTACCTGACCCTTGACGAACGACAGATCATTTGGCCTGAAATTTAATTAGGATTTCATGAGCCCATTGTTTTGCTTCAGATTTTTAAATTTTGAATGTGAATGGATTTTTAAATCTGCAATTACATAAAGCAGGTATTTATGTATATATAACATAATAGCATCTATTTAACATCCCTTTACAATTTAAAGGCTTTTCTCCCGAAACTTTATCATATTTTTCCTTGAGTTCCTTATTGGAGAACTCCTCTACTAACTCAAAACCTTGAAAGAATATCAGAATTTTGATGGAATTCTGCATTTTCATGTTATACTTGCATCAAAAGAAATCATTTATCGCGACATCAAACCTGAAAACATCCTTCTCAACTTATTTGGACATATTCACTTATCTGAAATTCGGACTCTCTAAAATCACAAACCATTCTTAAAGTTTAAATGGATCTAAAAATTACATTAATCCTGAAATGCCACTCAAACTGGATACAAAATACAAGTCGATCATAATTATTCTGAAACCTACTTAACATACTTGTTATCATTTCTGTAGCAAAAAGACTAAAAAATTCTATGACTCTATACTCAATGAATAATTCACATTCCGACAATTTCTAAGTCAAATAAATCAAAGATTATTAACCAAAGAACCTAATAAAAGATTAGGAGTGCATATAGGAGACAAAGAAATCCTTCAACTTAAATGGTTTAAGAAAGTCAATCTGACACATCCTAATGAAACGATTGAATCCTCCAAAAAATCTGATATTAGAATTTAAATTTCGAAATTAAAACTTTAAAATTTGGAATTGAGTGAGAGATTGATAAGGATGGCAATTTCAAATAAAAAGACTTTAAAATTTTTAATGAATTCTACTTTGATTATAGATAAAATAAACGAATAATAGATTAACAAAGAATATTGAAAACACATGAAGAACGGGGATTCTATTTAATGACAGAGGCCTCATCTTTTCGATAAGATAATATCTGAGGGAATTGGACAATTGAAATTGCAAAAAGATTAGAGCAACAGATCTCTGAGAATAAGTCCTCAAAAAGAATCTACATTAATGACTCATAACTTTATACAATTTTGAATTAGTTTAATAGTGATGCATTCTAAATTTTTCAATAAGTTTTGATACTTAAGAAATAGATAGCTTGGCTTGAATACTTAATTATCCTTCAACCATTAATCATATCTTTGACTACTTATGAGTGAGTGTTTTTGTCAAATCCTCTTGCTTCTTGTAAATTTTATATATTTGTTTCACATTTCCTTCAATGCCAATTGATCGAGTAATTAGTGAAATCGTAAAGGCTTAGAGGGAATGCAATGACGTTTAGAGAACCAAGAAGTGAAATACGGAAGAAGGTGAGATTTAAAGATGAGAAGGCCTTAATAATCCTGTCGAGCCTAGGAGGAGGATGTTGAATTATGTGACATTAGCTGGAAAATCCATAATAAAACCTATATAAGATAAGTAGAATTCCTGAGATTAGAAGCACATGTCTGGATTATTTAGGAAGGTTTCAAGGTTATATCAAACATTGTAAAAGACATTAGGAGATTGTATACGAAAGAGAGAAGCGATAAACAACTGATTAATGAGTACAAGAGTGATATAAACTTTAAAGAATAAAATATATACAATAAAAACTTTGATAAAACTAGTTTTTTGAGAAATAACTTTGGCTGTTTTGGGCTTGAATTTAATATAAAGTTGCAGGAATATTTGCAAGCAATTAACTTTCCTCCTAAAATGTTCCTTAAAAATATAAATGTTCATCTAGAACAAATTACAAATCATCTAAAACTGACAAGAGCAATAGACATGAATAGAGGATTATAGGATTAGAACGATTTTGATATTTTGGAGAAGATAATATTCTTATCTGACAATGATCCTCTCTTTCATGTACTGTGAGAGAGGGGATTTTCAACAAATAATATCAAGAGCACTGCCTCCTTAACAAATAATATCTTACTCTGTTCAGTACATTTATTTTATAAGTAGTGAGTAGATTACAATCATTTTTAATTAAAAAGTAGAAAAGAAATGTAAATTTCGCATTTATGAGGCTGCAAGAGCGGATACATATTCAATTGATTTATTATGGAATATAAAAATAACTAATGGCATGTCTATCTATTTTTAGCCATTTTATCCTTCCGATTATTATTTTCTGATTCCGATTATCAATTTTGTTATTATTCCTGTTCCTCTTCCCTACCACTGATATTTTCCTTTTATCCCTCTTATTTTAGCGTTTTTCTTGCCATTGTGAAAATGCAAAGGATGTGATAACAAAGGAAAGGTTCAAGGGTTAAAGGTGAATTCTATTCAACTAACCCCATTTGTGTAGCAGAACTTTGAAACTGTTATCTCAAGATATGGAACACCAATAAAAAATCCCTTGTCTGAGAAGTGCAGGTCCTGCGAGTGTCCGATAAGGAAGTTTATCTGGTATAGAAGAACAATTTTGTTCTAAAAGGGACAAACGAGGGGAGGTGTTATGTATATGAACCGATCAATCTACAGAAATTTTATGGGTTTGATGCTCATCCATACCTCACAAGTAATATAAAGTCCACACAAGTATGCTGACTTCCCCAGATATGATGATGGAAGTATATGAATATATTCACCATGCATTTCAATTGTGTCATAAACATATGTTACTACAAAAAGACAAAAGTTTTTACCTTTAATGTAAAATGCAGAGCTGTATAAAACAGATTTGGAATATATAAGTGAGATAGATTTCAAAATAATTTTTGACATTTAGCATGATACTACTAACGGATGCTAAGGAGATTTATACACTCGTATTACAAAAAGATATCGATCTCTCTATTTAACTCCCAGATTCTCATTTTACGGTCATCAAACCTGGACAAGAAAGTTCTGGATGCATTCAATTTTTGGAAATCAAAGTACTCCGAGCTTAAGGAGGTGAATGATCTTCGAAGCGGAGGAGTGTGGCAGTTCCGAGAGAAGAGGAATGCCATAGTGGTGAGGAACTAGTTTAGGGCTTTTAGATTGATGGGACAACATAACTTTTTTATGTAAATGACAATTTTCCGTCAATTATACGATGCTCAAAAACATTTAGTCTTATTGTGCTTACATGGACTCTCCGGGACTTGAAAGTTCAAACAAAGACAACAAACTAAGAGTTGTGATGAGGAAGACATTCTGTAGGGTCCTTAAGGTGCCTCTTATCATTCCTTATCTCTTTATTCATCTTAATTGATTGAATTAATCAATCAATTGATTACTAGGTCAACAACATTATCTTCATCAAAGCAGTAATTTATGATAAATAATCCCATTAAAACTCAAAAAAATAATTAGGGTAGTAATTAAAACTAACAAAGTAATTACATTCTAAAGAATTTTAATTGAGGCTTACTGAATTACAATTACATCTCATTTTATATTTATTAATCATACTCTTTTAATGAAAATCCTTGCAAATTACACAATTTCTATTTAGATCCCAACTCACTTTCTTCTTTTTGTTTTTTTAATAAGTAAGTCTCATACTTTTGCTTTGATTTATTAGAGTATTTCTATAAATAAATTAAATTTTATAATAGCACAAAACAGAGTAACATGAATCCAACCAATTAGAATAAAAGTTCTTAACTGAATTCAAAGCTATAAATAATAATCATAAATACAATCTCATTACAACTAATTTAGTGGGTTCAAAAAGAGATTTTAAGGGTTTGAATCTAATTAAATACATCAAAAAGAAAAATGATTGCATAGAAGTAGGATTGATTATGATACTGGATAATTGATTAATTCTGTAATATTGAAAATAAAGAATAAAAATTTGTAAAGACTTAAATTAACCTTTCAAAAATTCAGTTTTAGATTCTGAATAGAAGTACCTCAATATTTTATAATTTTTATATTTATTGTGGTAATTGAAAATAATGGAAAGTTTGATATTAAAATGAACCCTAAACCTATATAGTATAGATAGTGTTGAGAATTTCAAATAGAGAATCAATCTGTAATTGGGATATTATAACAATACACTAAAAGTTAACTAAAGTAGAATAGCCTAATAATCTTGAAAAATTCCTAATGAAAATATCAATTTTTAATTTTTAAACTTTTTCTACACATATTTTTTAAATCGAAGGATAAATTTCATGACTTTAGTAATTACTGGATATTTTTAAGCCATTTTAATATAAAATTTCCTAAAGTATTTGAACTAAAGCAATAAAGTAAATAGGTTAAAATAGAGGCAAGGACAGTAAAATAGCAGCTTTTTGCATTGAATGGCTCTTTAAAAATGATCTCGTAGTCTGGCTATAAGTTACTATTAACCTAATCTAATTTACTTTTCCATTTAATTCTTTCAATAACTAATCTACTTTCAAATAATTTAATATTGGTTGCAAAGAGTTCATAGTATAAGTATTACAAAAAAAAATCTCTGATTATAATAAATCGAGTAAAATAAAAAATACAATTGCATTTCCAGTTACTAAAGCTAAACTTGCCACACCAACCATTGAATACATCATTGCACTATTAAGTTAAACTACATTACTTAACTACTACTTAGTGGTTTCTAAAAGCACAAAGAGTGCATTTAGATAAATTTTTTTTTTCATTTTCTTTTAACCCCAATTTAAATGAGTTATATATTGTAATTTTTTTGTATAAAAACTTCTAAAATAAGGTTNGAGGAATGCCATAGTGGTGAGGAACTAGTTTAGGGCTTTTAGATTGATGGGACAACATAACTTTTTTATGTAAATGACAATTTTCCGTCAATTATACGATGCTCAAAAACATTTAGTCTTATTGTGCTTACATGGACTCTCCGGGACTTGAAAGTTCAAACAAAGACAACAAACTAAGAGTTGTGATGAGGAAGACATTCTGTAGGGTCCTTAAGGTGCCTCTTATCATTCCTTATCTCTTTATTCATCTTAATTGATTGAATTAATCAATCAATTGATTACTAGGTCAACAACATTATCTTCATCAAAGCAGTAATTTATGATAAATATTCCCATTAAAACTCAAAAAAATAATTAGGGTAGTAATTAAAACTAACAAAGTAATTACATTCTAAAGAATTTTAATTGAGGCTTACTGAATTACAATTACATCTCATTTTATATTTATTAATCATACTCTTTTAATGAAAATCCTTGCAAATTACACAATTTCTATTTAGATCCCAACTCACTTTCTTCTTTTTGTTTTTTTAATAAGTAAGTCTCATACTTTTGCTTTGATTTATTAGAGTATTTCTATAAATAAATTAAATTTTATAATAGCACAAAACAGAGTAACATGAATCCAACCAATTAGAATAAAAGTTCTTAACTGAATTCAAAGCTATAAATAATAATCATAAATACAATCTCATTACAACTAATTTAGTGGGTTCAAAAAGAGATTTTAAGGGTTTGAATCTAATTAAATACATCAAAAAGAAAAATGATTGCATAGAAGTAGGATTGATTATGATACTGGATAATTGATTAATTCTGTAATATTGAAAATAAAGAATAAAAATTTGTAAAGACTTAAATTAACCTTTCAAAAATTCAGTTTTAGATTCTGAATAGAAGTACCTCAATATTTTATAATTTTTATATTTATTGTGGTAATTGAAAATAATGGAAAGTTTGATATTAAAATGAACCCTAAACCTATATAGTATAGATAGTGTTGAGAATTTCAAATAGAGAATCAATCTGTAATTGGGATATTATAACAATACACTAAAAGTTAACTAAAGTAGAATAGCCTAATAATCTTGAAAAATTCCTAATGAAAATATCAATTTTTAATTTTTAAACTTTTTCTACACATATTTTTTAAATCGAAGGATAAATTTCATGACTTTAGTAATTACTGGATATTTTTAAGCCATTTTAATATAAAATTTCCTAAAGTATTTGAACTAAAGCAATAAAGTAAATAGGTTAAAATAGAGGCAAGGACAGTAAAATAGCAGCTTTTTGCATTGAATGGCTCTTTAAAAATGATCTCGTAGTCTGGCTATAAGTTACTATTAACCTAATCTAATTTACTTTTCCATTTAATTCTTTCAATAACTAATCTACTTTCAAATAATTTAATATTGGTTGCAAAGAGTTCATAGTATAAGTATTACAAAAAAAAATCTCTGATTATAATAAATCGAGTAAAATAAAAAATACAATTGCATTTCCAGTTACTAAAGCTAAACTTGCCACACCAACCATTGAATACATCATTGCACTATTAAGTTAAACTACATTACTTAACTACTACTTAGTGGTTTCTAAAAGCACAAAGAGTGCATTTAGATAAATTTTTTTTTTCATTTTCTTTTAACCCCAATTTAAATGAGTTATATATTGTAATTTTTTTGTATAAAAACTTCTAAAATAAGGTTTTATACTGGTTCAATGAATTCAATTTAAATTTAATATTTTAGGATTGCTTTATTAAATTGTTATATTTGAGATGCAAATGACTGCTAATTTGTATTGAGTTTAAGTTGTAATAGTGAATGCTATTATATCTTCGAAATTTGCTGCTTCATCCAACTAGACTTATGAAGTTAAAGTCAACTCTACAACTTAAAGATAATCGCTGTTGTTAGTAAGAATATTCAAATTCATTTTAGGAGCTTTAACATATGTGCATAAACTAAAGAGTTCTTATCTTTTAATCCATTGCCACACGTATGAACACACATATTATTAATAAGTACATGATTTTCACCACATCTGAAATATATCATTTGTATAGGTTAGAGAATTGAAAATCGATTTATTAATCATCATTATCACTGTTTTATTTTAAACAGTTCCTGTAATTAATGTCTAATACATATAAAGGATGAGATTTTTTGCATTGGTTTGATAGGCATTGAACACATATTTCTGAACATTCAAATTAACACTAATATCAATCATCCTAAGGGCCATTGTCACATTATTCATATTTCTCAATAACAATGCCTTCCCCAAAATTATTAATTTAATTGAGTTTCCAACCTGTTTAAATACAACCACAACATATCCCGTTAAGACAATCAAACATTATTATTATGAACATGAATATTTGCATTCGTAACATCCATCATAGGGAATCATTTTTCCATCATCACATTCCCATCTTAAGTTACTTTTAAAATATTCCCATTAAAACTCAAAAAAATAATTAGGGTAGTAATTAAAACTAACAAAGTAATTACATTCTAAAGAATTTTAATTGAGGCTTACTGAATTACAATTACATCTCATTTTATATTTATTAATCATACTCTTTTAATGAAAATCCTTGCAAATTACACAATTTCTATTTAGATCCCAACTCACTTTCTTCTTTTTGTTTTTTTAATAAGTAAGTCTCATACTTTTGCTTTGATTTATTAGAGTATTTCTATAAATAAATTAAATTTTATAATAGCACAAAACAGAGTAACATGAATCCAACCAATTAGAATAAAAGTTCTTAACTGAATTCAAAGCTATAAATAATAATCATAAATACAATCTCATTACAACTAATTTAGTGGGTTCAAAAAGAGATTTTAAGGGTTTGAATCTAATTAAATACATCAAAAAGAAAAATGATTGCATAGAAGTAGGATTGATTATGATACTGGATAATTGATTAATTCTGTAATATTGAAAATAAAGAATAAAAATTTGTAAAGACTTAAATTAACCTTTCAAAAATTCAGTTTTAGATTCTGAATAGAAGTACCTCAATATTTTATAATTTTTATATTTATTGTGGTAATTGAAAATAATGGAAAGTTTGATATTAAAATGAACCCTAAACCTATATAGTATAGATAGTGTTGAGAATTTCAAATAGAGAATCAATCTGTAATTGGGATATTATAACAATACACTAAAAGTTAACTAAAGTAGAATAGCCTAATAATCTTGAAAAATTCCTAATGAAAATATCAATTTTTAATTTTTAAACTTTTTCTACACATATTTTTTAAATCGAAGGATAAATTTCATGACTTTAGTAATTACTGGATATTTTTAAGCCATTTTAATATAAAATTTCCTAAAGTATTTGAACTAAAGCAATAAAGTAAATAGGTTAAAATAGAGGCAAGGACAGTAAAATAGCAGCTTTTTGCATTGAATGGCTCTTTAAAAATGATCTCGTAGTCTGGCTATAAGTTACTATTAACCTAATCTAATTTACTTTTCCATTTAATTCTTTCAATAACTAATCTACTTTCAAATAATTTAATATTGGTTGCAAAGAGTTCATAGTATAAGTATTACAAAAAAAAATCTCTGATTATAATAAATCGAGTAAAATAAAAAATACAATTGCATTTCCAGTTACTAAAGCTAAACTTGCCACACCAACCATTGAATACATCATTGCACTATTAAGTTAAACTACATTACTTAACTACTACTTAGTGGTTTCTAAAAGCACAAAGAGTGCATTTAGATAAATTTTTTTTTTCATTTTCTTTTAACCCCAATTTAAATGAGTTATATATTGTAATTTTTTTGTATAAAAACTTCTAAAATAAGGTTTTATACTGGTTCAATGAATTCAATTTAAATTTAATATTTTAGGATTGCTTTATTAAATTGTTATNAATCTACAGAAATTTTATGGGTTTGATGCTCATCCATACCTCACAAGTAATATAAAGTCCACACAAGTATGCTGACTTCCCCAGATATGATGATGGAAGTATATGAATATATTCACCATGCATTTCAATTGTGTCATAAACATATGTTACTACAAAAAGACAAAAGTTTTTACCTTTAATGTAAAATGCAGAGCTGTATAAAACAGATTTGGAATATATAAGTGAGATAGATTTCAAAATAATTTTTGACATTTAGCATGATACTACTAACGGATGCTAAGGAGATTTATACACTCGTATTACAAAAAGATATCGATCTCTCTATTTAACTCCCAGATTCTCATTTTACGGTCATCAAACCTGGACAAGAAAGTTCTGGATGCATTCAATTTTTGGAAATCAAAGTACTCCGAGCTTAAGGAGGTGAATGATCTTCGAAGCGGAGGAGTGTGGCAGTTCCGAGAGAAGAGGAATGCCATAGTGGTGAGGAACTAGTTTAGGGCTTTTAGATTGATGGGACAACATAACTTTTTTATGTAAATGACAATTTTCCGTCAATTATACGATGCTCAAAAACATTTAGTCTTATTGTGCTTACATGGACTCTCCGGGACTTGAAAGTTCAAACAAAGACAACAAACTAAGAGTTGTGATGAGGAAGACATTCTGTAGGGTCCTTAAGGTGCCTCTTATCATTCCTTATCTCTTTATTCATCTTAATTGATTGAATTAATCAATCAATTGATTACTAGGTCAACAACATTATCTTCATCAAAGCAGTAATTTATGATAAATATTCCCATTAAAACTCAAAAAAATAATTAGGGTAGTAATTAAAACTAACAAAGTAATTACATTCTAAAGAATTTTAATTGAGGCTTACTGAATTACAATTACATCTCATTTTATATTTATTAATCATACTCTTTTAATGAAAATCCTTGCAAATTACACAATTTCTATTTAGATCCCAACTCACTTTCTTCTTTTTGTTTTTTTAATAAGTAAGTCTCATACTTTTGCTTTGATTTATTAGAGTATTTCTATAAATAAATTAAATTTTATAATAGCACAAAACAGAGTAACATGAATCCAACCAATTAGAATAAAAGTTCTTAACTGAATTCAAAGCTATAAATAATAATCATAAATACAATCTCATTACAACTAATTTAGTGGGTTCAAAAAGAGATTTTAAGGGTTTGAATCTAATTAAATACATCAAAAAGAAAAATGATTGCATAGAAGTAGGATTGATTATGATACTGGATAATTGATTAATTCTGTAATATTGAAAATAAAGAATAAAAATTTGTAAAGACTTAAATTAACCTTTCAAAAATTCAGTTTTAGATTCTGAATAGAAGTACCTCAATATTTTATAATTTTTATATTTATTGTGGTAATTGAAAATAATGGAAAGTTTGATATTAAAATGAACCCTAAACCTATATAGTATAGATAGTGTTGAGAATTTCAAATAGAGAATCAATCTGTAATTGGGATATTATAACAATACACTAAAAGTTAACTAAAGTAGAATAGCCTAATAATCTTGAAAAATTCCTAATGAAAATATCAATTTTTAATTTTTAAACTTTTTCTACACATATTTTTTAAATCGAAGGATAAATTTCATGACTTTAGTAATTACTGGATATTTTTAAGCCATTTTAATATAAAATTTCCTAAAGTATTTGAACTAAAGCAATAAAGTAAATAGGTTAAAATAGAGGCAAGGACAGTAAAATAGCAGCTTTTTGCATTGAATGGCTCTTTAAAAATGATCTCGTAGTCTGGCTATAAGTTACTATTAACCTAATCTAATTTACTTTTCCATTTAATTCTTTCAATAACTAATCTACTTTCAAATAATTTAATATTGGTTGCAAAGAGTTCATAGTATAAGTATTACAAAAAAAAATCTCTGATTATAATAAATCGAGTAAAATAAAAAATACAATTGCATTTCCAGTTACTAAAGCTAAACTTGCCACACCAACCATTGAATACATCATTGCACTATTAAGTTAAACTACATTACTTAACTACTACTTAGTGGTTTCTAAAAGCACAAAGAGTGCATTTAGATAAATTTTTTTTTTCATTTTCTTTTAACCCCAATTTAAATGAGTTATATATTGTAATTTTTTTGTATAAAAACTTCTAAAATAAGGTTTTATACTGGTTCAATGAATTCAATTTAAATTTAATATTTTAGGATTGCTTTATTAAATTGTTATATTTGAGATGCAAATGACTGCTAATTTGTATTGAGTTTAAGTTGTAATAGTGAATGCTATTATATCTTCGAAATTTGCTGCTTCATCCAACTAGACTTATGAAGTTAAAGTCAACTCTACAACTTAAAGATAATCGCTGTTGTTAGTAAGAATATTCAAATTCATTTTAGGAGCTTTAACATATGTGCATAAACTAAAGAGTTCTTATCTTTTAATCCATTGCCACACGTATGAACACACATATTATTAATAAGTACATGATTTTCACCACATCTGAAATATATCATTTGTATAGGTTAGAGAATTGAAAATCGATTTATTAATCATCATTATCACTGTTTTATTTTAAACAGTTCCTGTAATTAATGTCTAATACATATAAAGGATGAGATTTTTTGCATTGGTTTGATAGGCATTGAACACATATTTCTGAACATTCAAATTAACACTAATATCAATCATCCTAAGGGCCATTGTCACATTATTCATATTTCTCAATAACAATGCCTTCCCCAAAATTATTAATTTAATTGAGTTTCCAACCTGTTTAAATACAACCACAACATATCCCGTTAAGACAATCAAACATTATTATTATGAACATGAATATTTGCATTCGTAACATCCATCATAGGGAATCATTTTTCCATCATCACATTCCCATCTTAAGTTACTTTTAATCCACACAATAAGAACAGATATTTTTTTAACTTTTTAAAAAAATTTAAATATCTCTTAGTTTTATAAATTAGTCGTCATTATTTAACAACATCAAAAAAGTTTACTAATTTGACTTCATTCTGAAATAAAAATATAGTTCTAATAATCATCTAAAGAGATATGGTTATTCATGCATCATTTTGAATCCAAAAGGCTAAAATTAAATAGAAGAAATGAAATTTTTGCTTTGAATTAAATTATTTAAATAATTGGATTTTCCATGTTCATCTTATAATAATGAAAATTATATAATCGGAGATAAGTAATAATAATTCTATTACTGAACAGCACATCTTATATGGAACATATTTTTAGATAAATAGAAACATAAACTATATAATAGCTTAATTGAATGAATTGTATTTGTTAATTAATTTTAGGTAGAATGATTAACTTTTAAATGTAATGTCTTTTGAAATATAACTTTAAAAATATCTAATGAGCTACCATCTAAAACAATTAATATCATTTATCCATCCTGGTTCGCATTCGCCAGTATCAAGTAATTGATGTGTGTAATTTTAGCATGAGTAAAAAAATTGTAATTAACATTAGATGAATGTGATACCCATCAAAGCTTAAAATCCAACCTGTGTTACAACCGCATTCAAATCTACTATTGACAACTTTAACATACAGTAACAGATGTACAAGTAGCATATTAAGCAGCACAGGCCGAAAAATTAATGCCAGTTTGAAGAGAATCACACATTGTTGTTTATAATTTATAATAACCTGACTAACATAATGGAACATGAATAATTATTTGTACAACTTAAGCAATTAGATATGCAATTCACAAAAGAACCATTATCATTAAATTATCCTGTATCGCAACTCCAAGTTACTAAAATAGAATAAAGTGTCCTTACATATCCAATCAGTTAAAATAATGAAAAATAAAAGCCAATTAGACATGAATACAAAAATAATTTAAGAAGAAATTTATGAGTCATCAAAGGTTAATATTTATTAATTCTACATGTAAATTGCTGCATTTAGAAATTTGATTAGTATATAATTAAAATATGTTTTAAAATTAAAAGTGACCTAACTAGAATTTGAGGCAAAAATTTACAACTACCTTTTCCTCATGACTATTCTTGATTTTATAATGTATCAATATCTCTTGAAATATTATTAAAATAAAAAGTTCTAAAAATTATTTATAACAAACATCTCCTTCTAGTACTTTATTATCAGTTTTTTATTAAATTATTTTTTATTTATACAGAACTTAATTATTATAACATTCCTCCAAGAACTTGAATTTTCTCAATGCAAAATAGGTAAGTATTTGAATTATTGATTTTTTAAATTATAATTATAATTATATGTCTATCTACTATTGTAGAACCTAATGGATAAAGAATATGTTTTGGCAAATTACATTATACCATACATGATTGTCAGGATTCAAGACTAATCCTTGAGTTATTTCCTGTTGAATATATGAAATATACATACCAGTGAA